TCCTTCCCTTCCTTCCTTCCTTCCTTCCTTCCTTGTTTATCCCTATCTGTCCTTCTTTCCTTCCTTCCTTCTGGAATTTCCATCTGGCTGAGCTTCAGCCTGCGGGAGGCCCCTTCCCTGGGAAGGCTGCTGGCTAAGACAGAGACTGGGGTGGGGGGGGATGGTGGGTGGAGGAGACCCCCCTCCTCCCTTCCCAGCCATCTAGCTTCCCGCCAGCAGGGAAACTGAAGCTCCCTGGGAAGGTGGAACTGGCCCTTCTGCTCTGCAAAGGAACGTGCGCCCCCCCCGCCACCCCCCACCCCAAGCTCTGTGGCTGGGGCAGGGTTCTTCTGAGCTCCATGGAGAATGAGCAGAAGGGAGTGCGGGAAGGGAGGAGGGGAGACCAGGTGGGAGGCACAGCTCGGCAGCCCCTTCGGGGAAGGAGGTGGTTCTCAGAAGGGGGAAGGGGCCGCCAGGCCTGGGGGGAAGGAGGCACCCCATGGCCCACCCACCCCCACGAAGAGAAAGCACCCCAGGGGGAGAGGAAGAGCGCTTTCGGTGGGGCTGAAACGGATGCCACGGCCTCCTTGGGCAGAAACGTTTGCGTTCGTTCGGAGGAGAGAAGGTTTCTTCCCATCACAGCGATGGCTGCCCACTTGCAGGCGGCTTCCAAAGTGTTTCCGACAATAAATGCAACTTTGCAGAAGTAAACCTTCACCTTTTCTTTACTGAAAATACTTAGAGAAGCCGCCACAATGCCAGAAACGGGCGGGCCCACAAGCCTTTCCAGCATCCTGTAACTACAGACGTCACAAAGCTATAAACTAATTACACCACAAAAGAGGAGAAAGTTGCCCCTGTTACATTACAGCTGAAGCATAACTCAGCAATGCCTTAGTTACGTATTTCTCTTTTAAAAAAGGAATCAATTGCAAGTAGCTCATTATTTGCAGCAGCGAGTTCCTTTCCAGCTCTTTGCAAAAGGCATAACCCACCGGGCACCACCTGACAAGAGCACCTCCTCCTGCACAGGCCCCATGGGAAAGCAGGAAGTGATGCGCACCCAGGCTGGCCCGCTCGCTCGAGCAAAAGACCCTCCCAGGGGTGGACAACACACGCCCCCAAGTCTGCACATCTCAGGTCTTGCAAAGCCATGCCCCTCCTCCCCACTTTCTGGAAAAACCAAAACTGATCTGTATAGAAACAAAGAAGGAACCAAGGTGCCCCTCGGCCGAACCCACCTCAGCAAGTAGCGGCCCCTTTCAAACCCTGTCTGCCCCCCCCCGAACCCCAGCCCCACAGCACTTGCTTTTCTCTCACACGGCTCCCTCTGTGTCTTTCTCACTCACTCACAATCCCACCCATGGCCCTGCCCCAGAATGGCTTCCCTCCCCCTCCCTTCCCTGCAAATACAGGATGTTCCTGGCTTCCCTCAATGTGTGTGTGTGTGGGGGGGGAGGCAGTGGCTGTTCCCCAGTGTAGAGCCAGCCCCCAGAAACACCCCACCTTTTGAAAGGGCGAGACGGGCTTGAGAGGAGTAACCAGGATCCTCAGTTAATCAGCCAGTCAGCAAATTCCCTCTTACCCCATCCCAGCTTATCATTTGGAACCAGGAAAGCGCCCCCCCCGAATATCTCACTCCCCACCATCAGAGGACATCAACTGTCCTGCCGCACTTCACAGAAGCAACCTGCGTAGCTTTAAAGCTCGCCATCTATCTATTATTTTTCACCCCTTGTTTTTTTCAAAAGCTGTTTTTTGAACTGCAAAATTTCTCAGACGCTGAGGTTTTTTAAAAAATGAATTCATTAATTTTGTTGACGACACTGCAGCTAGCCAATCCGCCCTGCTCCTCATCGACCACCTTCTTGTCCTGCATTCAGCTTTGTGGAGCTGTTGCTTTCCTGTTGGCCCTCAGAGAGGAGAAGCTAAGAAGAAGGGAAGCTAAATAGCCTCCCGGCAGGGAGCCCTAGCCTCCGGAAGAGGCCCAAGGGAAGGTCAGGCTCCCGGTCTCTCTTTCCCGACCCTCCCCAGCCTCATCTCTCCCTCCAAGGACCTTCCCAGGGCATCGCCCACCACCCGACTTCCAAAAGAGGCTGAGCCGGGCCCATCGGGGTGGGACGCTCGCTCGCTTGCTCGCTCGCTCGCCAGCCGGAGCTCACCTTCGCCCACCGAGGGATCCGGGCTGTCCTTGGGGGTGCAGCGCCCGTTCTCCAGGGCCCGCCCCGTCTCCCTCTCCGGCAGGCTGCTTGGCTCCGGGTTCTCGCTCCTCTGCCTGCCCTTCGGGTCCACGGGGGTGGCGGTGGCGTTCTCGGCGCTGCCCACCTCCGCCTCTCCGTTGGGCACCGGGTGCGCAGGGCTGCCGCTGCTGGCGCTGCTGTTGGGGGCCTGTGGGGGGCACCGGGGTGCAGAGGCCGTGCTTTTGGGGGCCTCGCTGCTTTCCATCTGAAAGAGAGACAGAAGCGGGGAGGGGAGGTGTGGGTGTGTGAAACACCACTCCAGGACTCCTTCGCACCTTCCAGGGAGCTAGGGAGACACCTCAGAGCAGGAGTGGAGCGAAGGCCCTATAAAACCCAAGGGAAGGGATCCGAGGCAAGCAGCCAGGAGGGAGCCCCAGAGAAATTGGGGGGGGCGCGGGCAGAGGGGTGGGGTGGTGCCTGCAGGGAGTGCTTGTTTGTTTAGTCATCAAGTCGTGTCCGACTCTTCATGACCCCATGGACCAGAGCACACCACTGCCTCCCGGAGTTGGGTCAAATTCACGTTGGTAGCCTCCCTCGAGGGCCCTGTGACACTGGCAGGGAGTGCCAGGGCACCTTAAAGACCAGGAACTGGATGAAAGGCCGAGCCTGGCGGAAAGAAGGACCGGCCCTCCCCAGCAGGCCTGGAAGGAAATGCCAGCGGCGGCGAGGGCGAAGAACAAGGGCCGTGCCCGGGGTCGTGGCCAGGACCCTGCTGACCGGCTGCACCGGCCGACGACATGTCACAGGTGGGCGCTGCTGTGGCTGGCGGATGGTCCTCTTTGACCAGCCATGGCTGGGATGACCTCCTCACGCACCACCCGGCACAAGAGGGACTGCACAAAAAGGGGTGCCTCGTTCACGGGGTGGGGAGCCGGAGGATGCTCCAGGGATGCTGGTGTCACGAACCTCCCCGCCTGGTCACAGTGACTTTCCGCAAGGGCCCACAGCTCTCCCGGCAAGCTCCGGCAAGAACCTGCGGGGATGAGGCGGTCCCTCCAGAGAGCAGCCAGCCAGCGGCGGCACCTGGATGCGGGCAGCAAGCAAAGCTTCCTCCCAGGCCAGGAGAGAGGGGGAGCCTGCCCTCCCCAGGCACAACCTCTCGCCTCCCAAGGGGAGGGGGCCAGGAAAGTCTCTGGGGGGGGCAGCCCCTCCCCGCCAGCAGAAAGAGCCCTCCAAGCCAGCAGGCGCACCCCCCCCCCCGGTGCTCACCGGCTTTCGGGCTTTCGCATGCTCCTGTTGCCTTCCTTCCTCCGTCACCTTTTGCTTCCTGCCTATAAATGTGCTTTCTGTGAATATCAACGTGGGCCTTGACGGGTTAATCATCTGCCATTTGGCGCTCGCTCGCGGAGGCTTTGCTCTGAGCCAGGCGCCAAACGGGATTCCATTTTGATGGGAGTTTTCCGGCTTTTCTGCCATTCTCTCAGCAGCCCTAAGTGCCCAGGAAAAGTCTTCTTTGGTTTTTCCCCCTGAATGTTAATACAAAATGATTTAACCCTGGAATTGATAGGACAAGGGCTCTGTCTGGATAAACTGCATGGCCACTTCCTGGCCTGCCAGTAACAACAACAACAACAACACCATCATTGTTAACAACAGGAAACACAACGAACGACCTGCTCCTCCGTCAGGAAGCTAAGAAAGGCAACCTCCCTGGTCCGTTTTGAATCACTCCTCAAACTAGCCGGGTCGGCACCCGTCACGCCACCCTGACCGTGGCCAGTCGACTCCCCTTCAGTCGGCCAAAAGGGGTTGGTCAGAGGAAAAAACGCAGAAGGAAGGGGGACTGGAAGCAAGGCAGCCAAGGAGCCCCCCAAACCACGTTTCGGCAACAAATTGGTTCGACAGCCCTGCCCAATCCGTCCCCCCACCCTCCCTCCACTTGCCGGTCCGGCTCACTCTGGCCCACCTCGCAAGGTGGTTCCCAGGATTGCAGGGGTAACCTAAGATGTCCCCACTTAAAACGGTGCCCGATCAAAGCCGAGCTCATGTTACACGGCAGGGGTGCTGATGGAGGAAGTCTCTGAGACAGGATCCCGTCCCGAGAGGGGAGGCTCCTGCACCCTCGCCCCTGACACCTCCCGGGCCGGGCCGGCCAGACCTCTGAAGGCGTCCTGCCTGCTCCAGCCACTTTCCTCTTGGGTTTGCCCTCTAGCCCCGGGGCGGCTCATGACCTTCCCACCGCAGAGCGGGGGGGGGGGCGGAGGACAGGACAGGCCATGGGGAGAGCTAGCCGCTTGGCACCGGCCCCCTCCTGCCCACCTTCAGGCAAACGGGGAAGGGAGGTCCTGGCCAAGCAGGTGGCGGTTTGTGTGTGTGTGTGTGTGTGTGTGTTCCTCCTCCTCTTCCTCCAGCATATCAGGAAAGGGGCCCTCCTGCCACAGGAGCTTCAGCCCATGAAGACACCCCCCCCCAAGGGAGACAGACGTCGTCCACTGGGAACCCCCCAAAGCACATTGGAAAGTGACTGTTTCGGAAAAGCTACCCATGTTTGTCTCGGCCCTGTTCTCTCGTCTCCAGAGGCAACCCTGAATCCTGATTCTATCTTCCAGAGCGTTAAGGACACCTCCTAGTTTTATGCCATCTGGGAACGCGATGAGCATCCTTTCAAGAAGGTGCGCCCCCTTGGAACTGATTACAGTGGATCATGAATGCCAGCTCAGGGGCAGGACCCCGTGGCGTCCAGCTTGCCCCTTCCTCTCATCAGGAGGTCAAGGAATACGTCCAACCAGCCACAAAGCCACATTCAGAGCTGCCTCCTCCAGTCCCCATCTCGGCAAACACATCACAAGGTCGAAGGCCTCTGGGAAATCGAGGCCGGCTACATCCACGGCATTCCCCTCGTCTACAAAGCCTGTGACTCTCTTTCCAAGGTTTGTCTGCACCATCCAGGGCTGCTCAAAGTAATCACAGCATCTTCCCCCCCCCCCCAATGCCTACAGATCAACGGTGATCAGTTTGAGAACCTTCCCTGGCATCCATAGCAAGCTGAGGGGCTGGTGTTTGCCCAGATCCTCCATCATCCTTCCACACACACACACACACACTTTTTTTTTAAAGGACGGGAGTGTCTCTCCACGTCGTCCAGGCTTTTCTGGGACCTCCCCTGTCCTTCAAGGATTCTCAAAAGTTTCACACCCTGAGAATCCATCCTTAACATCCTCGGATTTTCGGCTCTTCTGGTCTTCCACCCTTGAATTCTTGTCAGGCAGCAAAGTGTTCCCGGGACACCTCATTACCTGTCCTGGCCAGCAGCTCCCTCTCTTGCTCCTTTTCTCCATTTGCATTAGGTTGAGCACTGGGTTTTTTGCAAAGGGGGGGGAATCGTTTCCCACATGCCTGGGAAAGCCTCTCTGTCTTTCTGGGGGCTCCCATGATCTCTCAGCCGGCTGGGTGGTGATTTTTGGAAGAAAACAGAAGCGACGTTAGGAGCCTGCCCAGCAGTCCTGCCTTCTCTCGGTCACCCACTCACATCCCGCCATCTTCTTCACGCAGCGAACCAGCCACCTCCTTCTTCTTCCTCTTGAGCACTACAGAACCCCCAACCCCTTGTGTTATTTTTAACCTCTCTGTCAAGTCTGAGTTTCCTTCTGAGCTTTCGCCCTCCCTTTCTTCTTCCCACGACGCTTGCCCCTTTTCCACCTCTGCTCGTGCAGCCGGCCTGTTTTTCTTTTCAAGATGTCACCTGTGGTTTCCTGACGCCTCCTCCTGCTTTTGTCCTCATAGGGAGGGTTGGTGACGGTGCCTCCAGCACCCCACTTTAAAGAGACCCCCATTCACTTTCTCTCCTGAGTATTTCTGACCGTGGGATCTCCTCCAGGATTTCCACCAGCTGACAGAAATCAAAGCCAGTCCGGAGTGGATTCCGCCATCTCATGCCCGTGCGGCAGGAAGCGGGGCTCTGGAAGGACGCATGAGTAGCGCATAAGCTCACTGGGAATGACATGTGACATCATGTGCCTCTGAAGCAAGTTGATTCCAAGGAGCCAGCAGAGGGGAAGGACGGACTGGGTGCCGCTCAGCAGCTGGGGGTGGGTTTTTTTTCCCCTTCCTTAACCCCCTCCCCCTTTTTCCCCCTCTTTACATTAACATTATCCTAATCTGAGAAAAAAGGCTGCAGGGCCACGATAGAGCTGGCTTCCTGAGCAGCCCCATGGATTGTTTTTAGCACGCCTGGTAGTAAAAGCCCTTCTCTCTTCCTAGTAGCTCACATGACATCTCAGGAGGCTGGAGGTGACCCACGGCAAGGGAGTTTAGACTCTTACCCACTTACACTATCTCACACACACACACACACACAGAGAGAGAGAGAGAGAGAGAGAGAGAGAGCAACACACCACATGTAAGATTTATCCGCCAGCCAAAACCCTTTCGGGGAGAGCTACGAGGTTCCTGATTCTGTGGCTTCAGAAAACCAGGGGAGAGGTCAGAAATCTAGAAGTGGGAAAAGCACAGA